ATGTCTTCCATTATATTCTATTTTGCAGAGCAATTCTTTTGTGATTTTAAAAAAATTGTTTGTTCATTGAGTTTATTGGTAGTTTAGGTATACAGTAGTTACACTCATCATTGGGATCTTGTACATTTACATGACATATCTTGGTTCTCACTTTTCCCCATACCCCTACACTCCCTTCACCCCCTCCAACTCCCTCTATTCTTTATGTCCTATTCTAGCATCTTGATGTGGTTTTTACATATGCATAAGAAGATTTCATTGCTCTGTTTTCTCTAATGAAAGAAAATTATCAATACTGGGATTGAGTCAAATGCTTCACCGACTGAGGCATTAGCACCACAGCTTGTTTTCTGTTTTACTCATGAACCTTATTCTTACCATTGAAAAGTGGCAGAAGTTAATCCCTGAAGTGATACATTCTGATTTGCCAAGATAATTAAGAATATTGCTGAGACATGCTATGCATTTGAAATGATAGAGATGATCTTTACTGGTGTTATCAGTGTTGTAAAAAATTTCCCACGCCAGCTCCTACCACATTTCCTCTTGCCAACAAGCAGTGTTTTTTATTCATTGCCCATTTTCTGGCAGAATGTGCTAGTACACTCACTTGCTACAAGGTGACCATAGTTATGATTGACAGTATTTCCTTAAATATAAAATTATAATCAATATCATGGTAGGTTGTTAGTGAATCTCTGAAAACCAAGCAGTGTGTGGATTCGCATTTAGGGGTTACACTGGATCTCTGTCAGAACTGTGTCCAACACATCTATATAATGGTTCCAAAATAATATAAACTTGAAAACATTTTCCTCCTATGAGATGGGTTTTCTAGATTATAATAACCAAAATCTATCAAGAACATCCTTCATGTCTTAAAGGATATCTTGGAAGTGTCACTTTTTCCAACACTTACAGATCCTTGATTAGCACTGGGTGCTTTTATGGCATGATCATGACAACTCAGGTGACAGATTTTTCAGAATAGCCAGGGAATGCCCTTTCATCAAATAATTTTTAAAAACAATAAATTTATATCATTCTTGCAAGGAATCTTTTGGTATCAAAAGCCTAGGAAAATATTCTTAGATCTATATGTTACAGTTCTGTCTTTTTAAACAGAGGACCACTCTCATTCCAGGTTTTATCTTATTTTTCCACAAAATTTAATCTTCTCATGTAAAACATGAAGACACAAATACTTAGGAGAAATGGTTTTTAAGCCTATTCCTTTTTAATAGACCTTTTACATATTACCAGAATCTCCTGATTGTTTTTAAAATTTGTCTGATTCATAGTACTTTCTTTTCTTGAGCTGCTGGGGATCAAACCCAGGGACTCATATACACTAAGCAAACACCTACTACTGAGTAATAGCCCCACTCTTAAATATTTTTTATTCACAAATAACAGCTGTCAATGCTTATGGGATACAATGTGAGATTTCAGTACATTAAATACAGTAATCCCTGGCTTATAAACATTCAAATTAGTAACTTTCACAGGTGTACAGTGTAAGATTCATAGATATACTGTGAAAAACTCACTTTGTCAGATTACAAAGGAATCTAATTTATGAACTTCTATTGGAACAGAACTCATTTGTAAGTCAAGCTCTTACTGTATTGATCAACTCAGATATTGAGGTTTTTCCATTATATTAACAATTTGTCATGTCTCTGTTAAGAGAACATTTCCTCTCTTCTAGCTATTTTGAATTATGTGATAAAATGTTGTTGACCATAATTACCCTCTGTGTAATAGAATACCAGATTTTTTCTCTAATTGTGATGTTTCATTCATTAACCTCTCTTCATGGTATTTTCCGTAACATGTACAGACTTAGTTGTCCTTGCTTTACAATATTGTAGCTTGTTGAACTAACATAAAAAGTGGAAAAGGGGTCAGCAACATTTATTCAACAAATATACACGGGGTAAAGGTAACAGTATGAAGTACAAGAATGACCTTTTTCCTGCACTTCAAAATTTTATTAATTACTGAAGCTCTAATATGGGCTTTTCTTTGCTATTTAAAAAAAATCAGTTCATTCAACAATTTCTTTCTGCATCTATCGTGCACCTAACGAATGAAGATAATTTTCAGAGTAGAAGAGACATCTAAACTGAACCTTGATAACTAAGGACTTTCCAGAGAGAAAGAAATGGCAGATGGAGTAGAAGAAAATAATTGCAACATGAGGAGGTGATGGAGACATGCAGATGACACATAGAATGTGTTTGATGTGACTTGTGCAGTGAGCACAAAGTGAAACTGGGCAGTATTCACACTAAGCTTGATCTTTGTGCAGCCAAGATTGGGGAAGTGTAATGGAAATAAGAAAGCAGTGACAAGATTTTTCACACACCTTCTGTGCCCATGTGGTGTACTGTTAGGTATTGTAGCCACAAAGACAAGTGAAGCTAGCTGTACAGGTCCAGATGAAAGGTGCTATACTGCTTTTGTTTTTGCCTTGTCAACTTTTTTATTGATACATTTAATGTATACAATATAATGACATCCCTTGTTGGAAATTCGTACCTTTACATAAGCAACCTTGGTTCTTTTCCCCCAGTCCTCTGCCCTCCCTTCAACCTCTATGTACAAAGACTTTGTTTCCAATATTTTTCATTTCCTCATATGAATTCCTTGCCCCTATTCGACCCATTTCCCCTTTTCCTTTGCCCCTTTTCTTCCATTTTAACATTATCTATTATACCTTTTAGTCCCTATTTATACTTTCAATTTCTCACGAGAGAAACTATTCGGTATTTACACGTGTCCTATTTATATCACTTAAGAGTATGGCCTCAATGTGCATCTATTTAGCTATAAATGTTTCTAATTTCTCACTCTTTATGGCGAGTTTATTTTTAAAAAACATTTCTTTTATCGAGTCTCCAGTTGATGGGCATTTGCACTGCTTCCAAATTGCTTTACAAATTGTGCTGCTATTAACACGGGTGCACATATATCACCATGGTATGATTCTTTTAATTCTTTAGGGACGATTCCCAGCAGGGGAATAACTGGGTCAAATGGGACCTCCAACCCTCGTTCTTTGAGGTATCTCCTTACTGCCTTCCACAGTGGTTGCACAGCTGAGTGTGCTGTGAGAGGTGAGGCCCAGTTGGAGGATGGTCACTGGGGAACAACTGTTCCCTCTCTCTCCTTCCTGCCATGAAGCGAGCAGCTTTCCTGCCCCATGTTCTCCCACCACATGGCTTCTGCGTTGGAGCCAACCATGGGCTGAATCCTCTGAAAGCCATGAGCCACAATAAACCTATCTCCTTTTAAATTGTGGCTATCAGATATTTTGTCTCAGCGACAGAAAAACTAAGACCCTGTATTTTTTTTTCTAGTAAGTATCCCATATGACTTTCATTAGTTACATCTCTATGTAGGTAGTGCTGTCTTTACCACATGTATAGATCTTCATGTCCCTTCTGTTGCTTGTCAGGAGGGTGTATTCCTTACAAGGTTTTTGTCACTCTTGTTTCATTTTGTTTGCTTTTGGCTTTAGGGGTTGAGCCCAGGCTCTCACACATGCCAAGTTTGGGATCTACCTAGACTATGCAGCTCTAATAAGGTTTTAAAACTCCATTTCTTCTCGCAAACAATTTCCCTTTATTCTTCTTACAACTCTTTAAGAACAGTAAAATGTATTTCTTATCCTAATACTATGAGTAGCATACACAATATGCTGGACACTATCCTAATCTTTTCTGCATCTTTGTACACGTCTAAAAGTGTGTTTTTACAGAGCTGTAATTAATTTTACATATTATTTCCCAAATTTTTCAGTATAACTTTAATACAATTTTTACTGTATTCTTGGTTAAGATTTTTTTTTTTTTTTTTTTTTTTTTTTACCAGTGATCAAACTCAGGTCCTTGTGCTTGTGAGGCAGGCGGCAGAATCACTGAGCTAAATCCCCAGCTGTTGGTTCAGATATTAATTTACGGTCTCTTTATTACTGAACAATTTGGCCATTTCTAACTTTTCCTTATTAAAATATAATGTTGCAGACATACATTTAGGCACAGTGTCTTGTCTTGAGTGTCTTTATGTGAAATTCACAAGAACAGAATTACTGGTATAAAAGTATAAATATCTTTATGGTCTTTGATATAAAGCTGGTACAAGGCTTTCTGAAACCATCGTTTTAATATTATAATTCAAGCAAAATGAGTGATATTTTTTAATTAAAAAACTGGAATTTTTAAAGCTTTTAATATCAAAATTTGTTCTATTTTTTCTTCTTAAAAATGGCACAAAAATTCTACACACTTATAGGGCACCATGTCACTTTCAATGCATGTACATACACAATTTTCAAATTAGGGTAACTGGCATACTTATCACTTCATACATTTATTCTTTGTGGTGACATTTAAAATGTTTTGAAATTTTAAAAAGTTGTAAGTCAAATCAAGGATGGAACATCTATAGACTTTTGTTTGTTTGTTTTGAGACAGGGTCTCATTATGTAGTGAGCCTGACCTGGAACTCACTATGTAGCTCAGGCTGGTCTCAAACTCACAGTGATCCTCCTGCCTCAGCCTCCCAAATGCTGGGATTACAGGCATGTGACACCACGCCCAGCAAGCATCTATAGACTATTAATCCTACATACACTCTAGGAAGTTCAGGGTCAATGTTTTGAATGCATCCTTTCATTTCTAATCAACCTAGGCTCTTAAATCTTGTAGGTATTTATTGTCAACTTCCATGGTGACAATGAACCATAAAAAGTTATTAAGATGTTATTATGAGACTATTACACTAATGTCATTTTCAGCTGTCAAATCCACTTTACAAAAGACAAATTTACTTAAAAAACTGCAAATTATATTTTATTAAAATTTCAGAGTTACAGTACTTTAAGACAGATTCCTGACTTTTAAATAAAAATAAGTAAATTGACTCAAGTGAAGTCATATTTAATTTCTATTCAAAATAAAAATTATTTAAAAAAACAAAAATCTACAGCTTGACTTATTCATAATATAAACATATATTTTCCTATTTATTATCAAGAAAACTCCAATGCAATACTTTTAGAGGGATATCTTTAACACAATATCTTCCTGGATTCAATTTAAATGGTAAATCAGTATTTGTATATACTTTACACAGACTCCTACTGTGTGTATTTGGGAGGGGCATGTGCATGCAAATAGGAACCAACTAATTTTCATAGGAATGTTAAACAATTTGAGTAATTTTTTACTTATCACAGGGAACAAATACCATTTATAAAATATATTTTTTGTTGCCTAGGTCAAATGCAATCAGTTTCAGAAGTTAGTGGCCTAGTAAGTGCTAGTGGCAAAGTAGCAACTACTTATAGTCAGCCATGTAACACTAAGAAATACTGAGCACATTTTGTATCAGTTTTTCACATTTTCTTAGGAAGGAAAAGCTAGTTAGACCAAACTATTAAAATAAATCCAATTTTTAAAAACATTTTACATTATTAATGGTCTGTATTTTTACCAAATTACATTATTCTTCAATAGATAATATTCATTGGACCACTGGTATTATTAAATAATTTATGTATTGTTCCATTAGGTGTATAGGCTCTTTTTAATCTTCATGACTGATCCCAGGGCATACTAAGCAAACACTCCACCACTAAGCTACCTACTCCTCAACCACTTTCTCCCCTTAAATGAGGAAAAAGAAGTGAGAACAAGAGCTAATTTTCAGAGACAGGACATCAGAAAACAAATGCACACCATTTGGATACTGTATTAACAGCTGTGGTGCATTCCCATAGGTAGAAATGGCACTAATATAGAACATTAACTGATATTATACAGTACCTTGAAACAGGACGACTATGAAAATATTGAGGAAAATGAAAAACCATGTTAGAAAATTTACATCTCATACTGTCATAAACTCCTTGTAAAAATGTAAGTGCACTGTTTAAGCAAGGGTCAGAAATGGTTTTAGTGAAAGAACACAGAGGTCAGAACTAAAATAATGTGGCATTTGCTAATATAGAACTTGTTTTTATTTGATAGTACTATCTAAGCTTATCTTCAACCAAGAAAAATTGATAGATACCTCTAACTTTTTTAATTATGAAGAAATCTAACCATGTGGGAAAAGATCCTCTGATTAAAAAAAAAGTCACATAGGTAAATAAAGCTTTTCTTTCTTCTATCTCAACTGCAGAAATGGTTCTAGGAAACTGCTTAACATTTAGAGAATTCTTCTCTGTGGAAGCAGATAAATGCCAGTCACTTTAGCCATAATGCAATGGACCAAAAGAAAGCAGATAAATTTTTGGCAACTATTCTTATTTCTGCAGGATCCCAAAATAAAAAGCAACAGTTGGTAGATCAAAGTACAGTGGACTCTTGACTCATGAACGCCATCAGTTGAGGGTTGGTTGTGACTAATACAGTTGTGTTAGCTGAAATCTGGATGTTTACCTGGGTACAGGCTACAGATGAGAGATGAATCTGCCATTAACCTAACTAACCCAAGTTGTTTGAATGTCAGACCAGTTGTAACACGAGGGTCCACTCACTGTATCTTCTCTATAGATCTTTAGAAAATGTTATGACTTATTAAAACTAAATTTCAGAGAAAAATTATCCACTGCTAAATATATCATTAAATATCCTTAAATAAGAGTATTTTTACATTTTGCACCTAAGCAGGGTTTCCTGTTAATAATCAAATCTCTTTTCTCCTTTTTAACCCTTCTTTCTTATTTCTAAAGTAATGGTAATTTTGAGAGTTTGATGTTGGATGTTGATTTGGAATTGCTATGGCAAAGAAAGCCCAAGGTGTAGATTGTGCTGCATTTAAAAAATTACTTATTGCTGTGATCAACGACTCAAAATTTCATTGTACTTGATTAATTCCATGTGGAAATAAACAAGTTAAAATAGAAAAATGAAACTGTGCACATTCACTAGAAATACGTGATGACACCTGATAAAAAACAATACAACTTTGTATTACAATGATTTTCACAACTTACTTTATACCATTATAAAATGTTTAAATATGTCATTTATTATTAGATTCAAGATTATACAATATTAGTTTCAATGAAGATTAATTCTCCCATATCTTCTTCCACATTGCTAGTATGACTAAAGACTGAATGTAACAGATTTGATATAAAAGTATCACTGGTAATTAGTGATAATACCTAATTTAATGTTTTTTAAAAGTCTAATTGCTATGTGTACCAAAATAAAGTTTCTGATATATCTTTAGGATCATACTAGATGACCAGTTAATGATGTAATAAGCAAAAACTATCTGAATAAGTTAATATTTACATATAAAAATAGAGAATATATTCACTACAGTAAGCTCGATGATATCCCTGGAGTACTACCAGGCAGATTAAAAAGTTCATGCTTTAGAATGTGAATTTTTTTAAATCATGAGCCTTCCCCATCAAATGAGATACTCCATGTTTGTTACCAAGTGGGTTCAAAGAACATGGAGTGACAGATGACAGTTCTCTGGAAGAAATCTGGAAGTGTCTCAATAGGTTATTACTGTTTCAGTTTTTCCTAAGCGTGCTTTTTAGGGTTCTATCCAGTCCAATCACTAAAGACTATGATAAGGAAAGCCACAGGACTGAAAAGAGTCTACAAATCCTGTATTTTGACAAACTATTTTCTGCCATTGAGGAAGATGGTGCCTACAAAATGAAGGAAAGAAACATAAGGAGCACTTAAGCCATCACCGGTATAGTTTAGCACATTCTACCAGCTAGCAGTTACACCAGCAAGTGGTCTTGATTTGGTGTGAAAGAACATTGCTTCTGTCTGTTGTTGAGATTTATAAAGCTGTAGTATAGGATTCTCTGTTTCCTAATTTTATGCTCATGTCATATATACGATCCAAAGATCACACACTCACTTTTAAAGTATAAAAATATAATTACTCAACATCAAAATTAAATGAAACATAATTTATTCTTCTTGGATGTTATGTGAAAAATAAAGAAATCCTAGCTAGGGAGTCAAAAATCAGGCTCTCTTGATCTCAAAGATGAGTGGTCTTGACTAAGTTACTTACACTTTCTGGGACTCCATTTCCTCCATTGAAAAATAAGGGAGATATATCAGAAAATCTTTAAAAACCCTATTAAACTTGATTCAAACACTAAAACAGTGTCTCACTCAGTGCCTCTTGATTAGTATAAAGACCAACTAGCATTACAATATAGAGTAAAAATAATTCCAGTTTTGGTGATTTTCTGCTTACATTATGGCTAATAGAAGTTTCCTATACTTTCAGGGGCTTTCCTATAAGTATTTTGCTCTCTAATAAAAACAGTCACATATTCTACATCATATAATTTACTTTTGCAATCATTGTGATAATGTACAGTGAGATTTTTGGAATATATGTCCTTATTTAATTATCTTATTGTTGAAATCCTGTATCTTGTCAACTGAGTGGCAAAAGAATAGCATGAGGGTAAAGAGAAAAATCTTGGTTAAAACATTTATTAGAGAAATAAAGAATAACACATTTTACTCTTAAATTTTTCAATTTTCAAAACAAATTTTTAACAATTTATTGTTACTACCGAACACCAAGGATCTGTCATAGTTTATCACTGCTGGTGGAGAATTAGAGTTTACTGCCAAAAATATTAATACTGTACCAAAGGAAAAAAGAATTTGTTTGTTTTTAGTAGATAGCAGTGCATTTTACTGGTTATTTTAGTAATTTTCAGAATTGAAACAAAAGACTCATAATTCTGCTTCTACTATTGCAAACCAGATGTTAAGCATGTAGAATTCCAATTTAGAGAGGGACTTTGTGAAGTACCTGTTATAACTCTGGGAGTAGGATAAATAATTTCTTCAACAGTTACATATGTACCTAGTAAGAAGCCAACAACTCCAGTGAATGCTATAGAAATATTTTTCAGGATCATCCATATATTGTAATGCTCCTTAGAAAATGTAAGAATTTCCACTAAAGGCGGGAGGATCAAGGCCAATGTGCTGCTGCTCACAGCGCCAACAAAGGAAATCACAATATCTAAGCGAGGAATAAGAATTGCTCCAGCACCTAGAAAATAAAAATGGGTATTTTTTCTAGATTTAATATTTGGTACTTACAGGAATACTAAATGTAGATCTTTTCAATACAATAACAGTAATTAATAGACAGTAGATAACTATATATTTGCCTATAGAAAAATCTGCTATACTTTGTTCTAAGCTTTGTTTTGTTTTTGTACCAGGGATCAAACTTGGGACCTTGTGCTTACAAGGCAGGTGGCAGCACCACTGAGCTAAATCCCTGGCCCTGTTTAGAATTTTTAGGTCTTCTTTGTTCAACTTTAGTAATTCATATTTATCTAGGAATATGTCCATTTCTTATGTTTTTCCATCTTATTGGTGAATAGGTTCTCAAAGTAGGTACTGATGATCCTCTGGATTTCTTCTAGGTGCATTGTAATTTCTCCCTTTTCATTCCTAATTGTATGGATTTGGACCTGTCCTTTCCTTTTTTTTTGATAAGGTCGGCTAAGGGTTTGTTAATTTTATTCTTTTGAAGAACCAACTATTGGCTTCACTGATTTTTTGTATCATGCTCTTACTCTCCATTGCATTGATTTCTGCTCTGATCTTTATAATTTCCTCCCTTGTATGAGCTTTGGGTTTGTCCTGCTCTTCTTTTTCTAGAAGTTTGAGGTTGAGTATCAGGTTGTTTATTTTAGCTCACTCTGTTTTTTTAATATGAGTATTCACTGCTATGATTTCCCTGGTAAGAATGCTTTCACTGTGTCCCATAGATCCTGGTATGTTGTATTGGCATGGTTATTTAATTGTAAAAACTGTCTGATTTCTTCTCTAATTTCCTCTGTGACCCATTAGTTGTTCAGAAGTGTGTTGTTTAATTTCCATGTGTTTATGAAGTTCTTGTGGTTTCTTTTATATTCACATTCTTTGTATGGAGTTGCTGCAATATATATATATCGCATCTTAATTCCTTTTTTTATTCTTTTCCTGCCCTCCCTTCCTCTCTTGATTCCCCTCCCATTTCAGAAAGATCTGCTCTTTTCTATACAAATTATTATGAAAACTAAAGCCCTAAATAGTTTTGAAATTATGTCTCAATATATATAGGACTGAAGTGAGCTAAGTATTTTTTTAAAAGGGACTCTAAAGAAACTGAAACTTTAGAAATATTTTAAAAAGTAGATTCTCTGTTTAAAAGGTGTTTGATGCTGCCTTTTAATATTTTTCTCAAGGGAACTATAAAGCATACCTCTCAAACACAATTATGACATTTTAAATTTCACTGAGTATATCCATGTTGTGGAGACCTGCATAGTCTATTTACAGTAGAGTATTAAGGCCAGATAAACATGACTAGAACCTTGCCATTCAAAATAATTTTCCATGTGAAATCCAGTTTTCCTCATTAATGTGTTTTAATAATCTAAGCTGGCACTAGTGATTCAAGTAAAATATTCTTATTGAAAACCATATGCATAAATACTATATAATTTTAAAATTTAGACTATATTTCTATTAAACACATTTAAATCATGTAGTACTAGAATATCAATGAGATAAAGCTCTTTAAAGATTATATAACCATTAGATAGATAGATAGATAGATATTTTTTTTTTTTGGCTAGGAAAAATGGCTTGAAATAGGTGACACGGTAACTCATTAATAAACAAAGAGAAGCATGTCTATTTTGGGACAATCCAACATATAAAAACTCAAATGCAGAGACAATGATACATAAGATCCTAATAAGATTACTGACATTTCGAAAAAGGAAGAAAGGAGCTAAAGGTGTAGGGAAGGTGGGATGAGTAGGGGAAGGGTAATAAGGGAAAAGAAAAAAATGTGAGATAATGAAAAGATGGAAATAAAGTGTTTGTAGATGGGGAGGGGAGGAGTGGGTGAAGGGAGGGCAGGGGTAAGGGGAAAAAATGAGAATCAAGACTTGTCATGTGGAGGTACAAGATCCCAACAATGAATGTAACTGTACTGTATCCCTAAAATGTACCAATAAACTCAAAGCTGAAAAAAAAAAACTCAAATGAACAAAAACAAAAGGATAGTTTATGATAAGGATAATTTTGTCATAAGAAATATTCACTACAGGATTTTTTTTTTTTTTGTTCCAGCTATCGAACTTGGGTCCTTGCAAGCGCTTTTTAGGCAGGCAGTGGATCACTACAGAATTTTGATAAATAGGTTGCCCTGAGGCATCTATGGACAGCTACTATGAATGAATCTATTAAATGCTAATCAAGTTCATCCTCTGTGCAGAAATGGGTAAATATATAAAAATCCTGGTCTCCTGTTAACATGGACTTCAAGCTCCTTTAACTGAGTTTCAGTAACTGATTTTAAAAGAGGATACACTTTCAGAATAGAATTATGTCTACTGACAAAGAGACTGTCATTGAAATTGTGAAATTACTTTTAATATAGTCTAGTTATCAAAATGTCAATAAGGGCAACGTAGAAAAATATTTTAAAATAACTTTTCCCTACTGAAGGTTTTATTAGTCATCAGAGTATGGGCTCACTGACTTCATTCTTCCACATGACTTCCTTTATTCGTTCAGAGAGTTCACTTAAATGATTACTTTGAAAAATAACTTCTTAGACTTTTTCTAGCTTTATCTTTTTTCAAACAAAATGAAAACATGAAATTATTTAAATACAGAGATAAGCTGTATCTTATGATTCTCAACTATTCAGTTGACCAGAAGTTCCACTTCGACATTCTCTAACCCTGTACGATTCTAAATGATTATCTAATATCCCATACAAAATTTCCAGAGCTGTCTTTTTCAAAGAGCACCAATAATCTGATGTCAGTATTACTCTATATATTCTAAGATTAATTCATGGGTACAGTCTTATTATACTAACTTACAGTTACAATAATGGTTATAACAGTGTAACTTATAGTTACTCTGTTAATATTATTTTTTAACCTACAAAAATGGACCAAGGAAATGTTAACCTCATTTCATAGTTGAGGAGAAAGGGACTTAATGATAGTACATAATTAATCTCAAGAGACTAGCAAGTAAGTGGTAGATCTGAGTTTGCATCTCCAGGTCTGTGTGACTCCAAAACTCACATTCCTTCTACTATACCCAAATCAAGCTCGCTCTCCATAAGTCTCCATTATTAATGCTACCCCATTAAAGCATTTTATAATATGAAATCTTAATGAAAGTTTATACACTCTTTCACAAGTGAAAATTAGCCCCTGAAGGTATTAACGCCCAACTCAAACAAAATAAAAGGCTTTTAAGTATATAGTCATAGAGAATAAAAAAACAAATACGAAAGTTAGCAGAAATTTGTAAAAACTGAGGAAAACTAGAAATTAAATATGTATCAACAAGGGTTCCTTATGCATCTTATTTTTATTCCTACTGTCATCTTAAGAATAATTTGTTATTTCAATGTGATAGATTAGATGTTTCTCCTTTCACAGCAAAAAATTTACAGTAGTAGGAAAACTTTAACCCCAAAAGTAACACAGAGAGGTGAATACAATTATTTTATTTTTAATAACAATATTACTGATAGATATACACATACAGATATCTACATAGTAAATATAAATATAAGCAAGTGACCTAAAAGATGGTGAAAAATGTTATCTTTCATTTTAAGAAATTAAAGAATGAAAGAATTATATAAATATGGAGTGATACTTACAAGTAATACTAACCAAGAAGGACCTTATCCCAAATTCACAGATTTGCTTTCCTTTTGCATGGAATTTGGAGATGACTCCAGGGATAATGATTTCTGCTGGAACATAGAACTGAATTGAATATGTCACAAAAATGCCAAAGGAATACAGAATTTTCACTGATTGATATAACCTGTTGAAAAAAAATTGAATTTAGTCTTTCTTAATATGAGTCTAGCTTCCTTCTGTTTGGTTTTCATAAGGTAACAAGAAATCCAGAAGATAATCTTAGGTCAGAACATACTAACTAAAAAATGTTTATTTTGGAGAAAGCCAAGTGATCTCCACTAACTGAATTTCTAGACGATATACAAAGAATACACTCTGAAAAGCCTGGAAGGCTTACACATGGCATGTAAAAGTTCAGGACATACTATTGGGAAGATTTCATTTTGGACTAAGCCAATGTTCTGCTCTTATAACCAGTCCCATGAAGGCCTAATTTTTGTATTAGTAGGTATTTGTGGTACATAATGATTACATTCCTTGAGTGGAGTTGGTACACGCACACACCTTCATTCCTTTTTTCATTCCTTTCCTCTTCCGTCTGTCCCCTCCCCTCTCCTTTTTTTTATATTCAGATAAACTTCTTAATTTTCTGAAGAGATAGCACAAATCAGTAATTTCTTTTTTCTCCCTACTTCCTTATTATTTATCTTTTCTTTTGCTCTCTATTTATAATTTGGGCTTCTCTTACAAGAGAAACCATATATTTAAGTTTGTGTCTGATTTATTTCACTTAATAGTATGATCTCAAATGAGCCTATTTTCTTAAAAATGATTCATCATTTCTAAAATTATTTCCTACAAATCTGGATGGTAGAACAATATTCCATTGTATGTAAATATCACTTTTCCTTTATTCATTGATCTGTGGGTGGACATATAGGCTGCTTCCAAGATTCAGCTATTGTGAATTCTGCTTCTATAAACATGGTTATACATGTATTACTATAATAGGAAGTCTTTAACTCTTTTAGGACAATATTTAGAAAGAGAATAGCTGGATCAATTGGAATTTCTAGTTTTAGTGTTTTTAGGACTCTCCATACTGATTTCCATAGTGGTTGTTCTAGCTTATGTTTCCACCAACGGTGTACAAGGGTTTCTTTCCCTCTGCCCAAAACTTTGCCAGAATTTTTAATTATTTAATTTCTTCATCGTGGAACTTCTTTCTGGGGTAAGATGGAATCTCGGCATTGTTTTAAATTGCATCTAACGGCTAGGAATGCTGAGCATTTTTTGAGGTATTTTTTAACCATCTGTACTTCTTTTGCATATCTTTTGAAAGGGTCTTTCATTTTTTGAGAGGGGCTAATTTTTTTTAACTCTTTTTTTTTGTTACCGGGGATTGAACTTGGGTCCTTGCGCTTGCAGGGCAGGTGGTGGAACCACTGAGCTAAATCCCCGGCTTTAACTCTTTATATATTCTAGGTATTAGTCTGCTGACTGAGGAACAACTGCCAAAATTTTTCTAATTTTGTAGGCTGACTTTTCACCCTGTTGGATGTTTCTTTTGATGTAGAAGCTTTTAAATTTAATATGATCCGGAGCTAATGTTTTCTCAACTTTTTTTTAAAATTAAGAATACTGTATGTATTCAAAATCTTAAATCATAACCTCAAGGACCTATATATATAAGAAATAATTCATATTAAACACTGAATTACATAGCTCTCCTTGCTTGAAAATCTTGGTAGGTAATGTATGTCATTTGTTACAGAAATGTCATGAATCTTAAGTTCAATGAGAGGGTAAAAATTCTCTAAATTATATATACTATATAAAACTACATTAATAAGGGAAATAGAGTTATCAGGTTACTATTTTGTCCAAGAAAATTTATCTCTTTAAAGCTCAGCACTGCAAAGCAGCACAAGAGTTTTCAATTTCACAGTAACTTTGGATTTTTGGATAATCAATTTTTTAAATTAATACATAAGTGTACACATATACAGGGTAAGCGGGATTATCTTTAGATTGTGCCATTGTGGACAGCCACCTTTCAAAACTCAGAATGGGTATCTTAATGAAGACTTCAGTAAATTTCCTTTGTCTAGCCAAAGAAGATTTTTTCAAACATTAAATGACATAGGGAGAAAATGCAGAATCATAGGACTCAGAAGAGTATTACAGAAGCTACTCCCCTATGTTACAGATAATTAATGTACTGTATTTTTAAAATAATATATTCTAACAATCAAAGACAATACAATCACACTTGTACTTTTAAGAAAGAAACAAGAAAGGAATATGGATTAAATGTGCTGTGGCATTGGGGCAGTGATTAATACATATATCCTCTTTCAGCAGAAACATCATTGATAGCCACTATCTTCCCATTTAAGAGCTCTATTTTCCCACCTCAGAGTTCTATGCACAGGGCATCTTTCCAAGAATAAATACAATTATTTACAAAAATATATAAAGTATCCTGCCTCAAGTAAAATAGATAATTAGTCTTTAAACTTATTTCTTATGTCTTAAGACTTAAAGTAGTAAGGATTATAAATAGTTCTCTAAACTGGCCAAGCAAGAAGGAATTCAGTAAATTTCCTTTTATAATACATTCATCATAAAAGGGGAAATAAGGCCAAGTCAAAATAGATTTGAAACTACTACAAATACCATATTTAAGAAAGAAGAAACTCCTTAAGGCTAACAATAAACCTTAATTTTAAAATTATCTAAGAATGTACTTCTGAGCTTCAGGCTTGAAATTTAAACATGAACAGTCAGCCTATGCAAAATATGGAAAATAACCAAAATACAGCTTCGTTATATACTCTGGTATGTAGTTATAGAGAATTAAATGAACATTTTCATTATTATTAGTTTAACTATTCCTTTTTAACATATATTTTGAAATAATGGCTAATACATTTCTTTTTTTTTTTTTTGGTACCGGGGATTGAACTCAGGTCCTTGCGCTTGCAAGGCAGGCCACCGAACCGCTGAGCTAAATCCCCGGCCCTTACATTTCTTAAAATACATAATTAGCACATAAGTACAATTATTCCTTCATTTACATAAAACTGAAGTTATACAGGATAAGAACCAGGTTATTACTAAGACTATTCAACAATACTGATTATACGTAAATATAATTTATTTGGTGTTGCACAGAATAAAAATAAGAAAATGGTTTTAATCTTTCAGAAGTTGATATATCTATAATCACCACTGAAGGGTAATGAAAAAGTAAGAGTGTCTAAAAAAAGTGCCAAAGTTTAAAATCATCTGTTTCACTTTACCTCTTTCTGTTTCAAAAACTCATTTACTGCTATGTGGCATTTATATTTGCAATATTATTTCACTACTGTTTTCAACTTTTCTATAGACATTATCAACCTTTGTTTTCATTTCTCTTTTAAGCAAGTAACAATGGTAAGGTTCCTTTACATATTAAGTTAACAGCTAAAAGGAAAAAGCTATCCAATGAACTCTCTAAAAAATAAAAATTTGTCTTAAAGCCACAGGAATTTATTTTGAAGACATATAAGAAAGTTAAACAATTTTCAGGCAACATTTAGTGCACAGCACATGTCTTTCAAAACTCAGTGCAAAATCTCCATAAGAGTTAGCTAGGCTTTATTCTTCTCTGTATATTCCTCCAATGTACTGAATGGGTGATTAATACTTATTAAATATTAATTAATATTAATACTTAAAATAGGTACAAATAATTCTTAGAACGTACATCTATCTAATATGACAAACATTAATAATACCTCAAAGAATAAAATATTGTGCTTGGAAACAAAAATTTATTATAGTGGAAGCAAATGTTCATAAAGGGCAGAAGTATTTTTAATAATTCATTTTTTAGTTAATACATAGATTCAATTTGTCATAGATTTTTAAGCTTTGTGATGCTTTTATTCTTTTCCCTGCAATAACCAACATCTGAAAGGACTTCAAGTACATACAATATAAAATTGACTAGTAAAATAGTGAGGACTGTAAATCATGGGATATTTAAATTTATCAAGAACCCAGAATATCTGGTGTTTTGTAAGCAAGGATGGATATTAACACTTTTATTATAGTATGTCTATATTGAATGAATCTGTATTTTGCTCCTATATTTAACCTGAATTTGGAACAATATTTTATCCATAAGGTCATAGATGGTCTCCTGAGAATTATAAAAATGTTCTAGAACACACAAAGAAATCACAGTAAAAAAAAATTAAATACAAATATAAAAACATACCTCTATTATCAAATACTGGTGATAAATGACACCTATAAACTAAACTAAGATTAATAAACTCATGTACACTTACCATACATCCTGAGGAAGATTTAAAGTTATGCTGCCTTTTATTTCATCACGAAAGCACATATATCCTAAAGTAGCCAGTGTTACATACAAAGCTGTGACAATTCCCATGCCAATATTCAATGCTTGAGGAAACCGTTTTGATTCTTTCATTTGGTTTTCCAGTGGAAGGACCTAAGGAAGAATATAATTCATTTTTTTAAATGGAACATGACAGAAATATTTCAAAATAACATAGTGTCTCATCTATATAATTTGGTCTTTTTATAGTATATATGCAAACAATTTTTTTCTTAAAACAACATAATTGTTAACAGTGTTTTTCTATGTGCTATTTTTTTACATTTTTAAATTCTTAAAAATATTTTAAAACTCAGATCTTTGCAAATAAACCTGTTTAAGTATTTGTTTATTTTGCAATAAAATCAGATTTACAGAAAAGTTGCAATGGTAACACAGTGTCCACGTACTCCTGACCTAGTTTCCCTTACAGTTAACATTTTACATTTTACATTGCCATAGTACAGTAGTTACAACTGTAAACCAACACTGACGGATTAACTAAACTCCAAAGTTCATCTGGATTTTATTTTTTTTTCCATTAATGCTTCTTTTTCCTTCCAGGGTCCCACCTAGAATGCTACATGGCATTCTGTAACCTTGCTTAGTCTACTCTAGTCTGGGACTCTCTCAGCCTTTCATTGTTGTTCATTATCTCGATATTTTTAGCAGTACTGTTGAACTATTTTGCATAATATCCCTCTATTTTCATTTTTCTAATGCTATGCTTGTGACTAGACTGGGGTTACTGGTTTGAATACCACAAAAGGGAAGCATCCTTCTCATCATATATGTTACCATTGTGATTTATGACAGAAAACATTCATTTTGATAGTTTGGTAGAGGTATTTTGCCAGGATGTTCTGCTGTAAAGTTACTTTTCTTCCCCCCTCATCATACTTTTTGCTAAAAGCATACCTAACTATATTTTATGAAGGGAGAAGTCACAACATAAAATTATTTGGGATTCTGCCCCATGTACTTATTCGATTAATCATTTATTTATGTTAAGATGGACTTAGATTTGCTTTAAAGTTATAACTAATACTCTTTTATGCATTTTGTACTCATAACTCTAACATGACAACTCCTGTGTTCCTCTGACATGCTTCCATGCTTGCTTCTGAGTGTTTACTTTCCGGTACTACAACATGTCCCAGACTCATTTTGAATTTCTTTGCTTTAGCCTTAAAGTCCACCAATTTTCTCAAGAGAACTTTGGTTCTTTTGCTGGAGAATGGTATTCACAAAATAAGTCTGAGTTCTAGGTGCTTGTTGCTACCAGAGTATTACTGCTTGCAAGCCCTCTTAGGAGACAGAGCTAGGAAATATATGCATGTATACTAACCCATGTATACACACATCTATAACTGTTTCTTTATCTATTCACTTATGTCTACTGTCAATTATGTCTGTCAATTTTAATGAAGATTAAAATCTTCTATTGTGTATAAAAAAAGAACTTCTAAAGAAACAAAAAGGTTAAGTGAAAAGCACAAATTTTAAAGGCTAATCTTTGGAGGGTCTGACCATGTATTAGTAATAGAAGATAAAACAGAGGACAGTGGGGCTGCTCAGGAGTTCATCCAGACCTGAAACACAGGGCTGTAGTCAGGAATTGTGTCAATGAACTAAAAAAGGAGAAAACCTCTCCTGAGGCTGCCTCTGTGTCACCGGCGTCACTGGTATTTAACTATAATCTCCTTTATGGAATAGATTTAAGAAATATGAAAGAAGAATCAGCATGTCTGAATTACTGTTTGGAATGGGGAACCAAGGATAGAGTACAAAGAATTACTTCAATATTTGAAGCAACTGAAAGTAAAACTAAAAGATAAAGGAAAATAAAAATGAAGTTAGTTTTAGATGAGAAACTGTAAGTCAGACTTTTGAATTACTGAATTTGAGATGTCAGAAAAACACTTAAGTGGAAATGTGTAATAATTAAGTAGACACTGGGACTCACTAGATAAAGATAAATTAAAACCTGTAGTTATGTCTGTAATAGTAATAAGAGGAGCTGTAAGAATTTGTAAGATTCTCTAAAAATAATTTAGAGAACAAAAACCCAAGTAAAATGGTATAAAACTGTATTTTATGCCTGTTTTTGTCTGGGGTTTATGTAAATAAACACTTAAAATTGTTTTGTTTCCATACCAAATAGGCTCTGAAACATAAACTCTCAAACAGAATAGAAAGTAATAATCTATTTCCCTAGGTCTACAAATTCTAGTCTATAAATAAACTGGATACTGAATGAAAATATTTATGATCTTAAAATCTTCAAGATGCTGATATCTTTGGCATTACTTTTTTGATAATACTGTTTCTCAAATATTATATGTACAAATATAGAGGGAAAGTTTATATTTGATTTTTTATGTAATAACTTTGTAACTATTTCAATTCCATTCAAACAATCTAGTCTATAACGTAAATTTTTTTTTTTTTTTTTTTTTTTTTTTTTTTTGTCCGGGGATCGAACTCAGGTCCTTGCGCTTGTGAGGCAGGCCACTGAACCGCTGAGCTAAATCCCAGGCCCTATAAAGTAAAATTTTTGACTTGTGTTTGACTCTGTGTGTTAGAGGTGAAACTGTCCATGAGGTAAATTTTCTAAACTTGGTGATGCTTATATAGGATGCTTATACCATTCTCTACGCATTGTACAGGTTTAAAACTTTCTGTAATAAAATGCTAAAAACAATCTATTCTAATTTTCTTATTTTAAAAGACAAAAAAAGGATTAAGGGAGTCTAAGTGGTATTTCTGAGATTAAGTTATTTCAAGTCTATCATACCAAACTAGAAATCATGTTCTCAGTAATAAAATTGAGACAAAAATAAAAATATACATTTTGTATATATAGTTTGACTACATAAATCTTTTTTGACTTCAGATTTTTAAAAATATCATTAAATAACATTAACAATAAAGTCTAATTCTTACCACTCCTATGCCTTCAAAGGCAAATACTGCGGTACCAAAAAAAAGTGGGTATTTTTTCCAACCAGCCACTATAGGAAGGTTGTGGGGATCCGGCATGTTCTACAAAAAAGAAAAAAATAAGACAGCACATCTTTATTTATTTTTAAAGGATTTCAAATAAAGCAGCAAAACCACACTCTTTTGAATGTCACAACAACAAATGTAGGCTATAGAAGTGAATATTTTTTCAATAAACACTTTAAGCATCTTATGTTAAACAGAACTAAGCTGTTAGGATTTAATTGCCAAAGCAACTGTTTCCCTCCTGCTCACACATTTCATCAAATGAAATGCTCCTGATTACCTGTGTCCACCTGCAAGTACCAGGCTGTGCACACTGGGTATGGCTCCTGCTACAATGGGAAATACATAAGCACACTCACGTCTGAGTTCAGAGCTATATAATCAGTTATCAACCACAGTTGTTGGTGCTCAACAGAAATTTATTCTGCCCCCATTGTCACTTCTCCTTTAAGTTTCTAAGATACTCATAATTCTCCACCTTGTCTTTCTATTTTACAACTGTGATGCTCTCTAGCACAAGCTTTTTCTGGTCTGAGTGTTTACTCTCTGACCTGAGAGTTGTTATTGCCCTTATTATTTATGACCTGACTTTCGCCTGAGTTTCAATTGTTACAATCTGGAGAAATTCACAAACAGCACATCTTATTTACCATTTCTGACCCCACAATGACCATTTTTCCAGATACTCCAAGCCTAGTCCCTACTTTCTCACCACGCTGTTATTTCATGTGTCAGGTAATGAGAACTAAAATTCAAGGCCAAGGAAAGAAAATGAATGAAGCAATTAAGTATGAAAGCACATGGCTAATTTGGGGAACAAAGATGTCTGGAACATCTGAAGCACAAATAGAACTGTTTGATATAAAGGTGATGTATGACTAAAAGTGTAAGTGAGAGTCAAACTGAAAAGGATATTCAAGATTCCAGAAAGCCTCACGTAATCACCTTGTCTGTATCCTTATATTCTTTTGTGCTATGAGAGAGAATATAGGTTTGAGGATTCAGAGAGGGGGCAATCCAAAAACACAGACCCAAGGTAAGAGCCTATAATGAAATGTAAGAAGACTTAACAATAATTACCTTGGAAGCAATATATAAAATGGATTAAATAAGGGGAAAATTTGGATTCTCAATTATTTTTTGTTTACTGGCCTCTCTGAAAGGTAAAATATATATAGCTACTCAGAAAAAAAAAATATAGGGGGCCGGGGATTTAGCTCAGCAGTTCGGTGGCCTGCCTTGCAAGCACAAGGACCCGAGTTCAATCCTCGGTACCAAAAGAAAAAAAAAAAAAAATATATATATCACATCACATACAGAAATCTAAATGCTAAGAGATACATTTGAAGTAAGCAGGCTAAGAATCTTTAGAATACGGCAGTTAAGAGGCCAGCCTGGGCTACAAAGGGAGCTCAAGGCCAGCTTGAACTATGCAGCAAGACCCTGTCTCAACCTCCCAAGTCTCCAGAATATGGCCAATAAAATCAGTTCAAGTTATTGCATATACTTCAGATAAAAGAGTTATAGACTTGTGTAGTAACAGTGGATTAAAGCAGTGGCAGCAAATGAAAGTTTAAAAGTAAAAGAAAATTACAGAATTTCATACACATCACTAGTGGCTGATAGGAATTTTGAAGAAATAAAAGAGTATGCATAATGAGCTGTTTCTTGGGAGGCACTGTATGAAGAGCACAAATCTAAACCTCACAGGAACTCTGACAGGTACTACCATTTCTGAAGCAACGTCACAAAGCATAGAGACATATTTTGCAAGATTCAAAACAATACATGACTATAAAACCTATGCTTGTCATCTCTATGTCACACATTTTTCTAATTAAACATCTAGCCCAAAGAAGCAAACTTTACTGTTTATCTTCCATGTATCATATACATAGTAGGGATCTTTATATATCATTTTTTCTCCTCCAAAGTAAACAGCTTTACTTACAAAGGAAATATATGATATTTAGTTTAAAACATACTTACCCTAACAACGTATTGATAAATTATCACAAGACTGACAGCCATGGAAACATTGGCAAGGAATGAAAGCACATATAGATTCTTTAGCTCACGAATGAAGACCAAAAGAATTATAAATGGAAGAAAGCAAAGCATATATATCCTTAGGTCAACACTTCTCTCACATGGATTTGATGAATTGGTACTATTGGAAACAAATTCTTTATTCTCCAGGAATCCTTCATGAACCTATATAGAATTACCAGGGGAATAAGGAAGGAGGGGGAAAAAATCCATCAATTTATAATCAACGAAGAGATAACACCAAGAAAATTATACTGTACACATTCTATGATAAATTCCTATGACATATTTGATAATAATGTGTTGACATTTTTTCAAGATACTCTGTTTTCCTAGAAACATATATGTCAAGTATAAGGATAACTAAGGTAGATAACGTTCTTTGCAAGGTAATTTCTTTTACTGTACTGTGAAAATAAAATTCACCAGAAAATTACTAATTATGTTGAAGCTTTGTGAGTGTCATGCTCATAATCCCTAGGGGGAAAAAAAACCCTCAAAGATCTCTTTCTGAGATCAACAAAACTGAAAGCATACTTATTTAGAATGACTATTGGTTACTTTACTCCAGCTTACTTTCTTTGATGTAGGAAATAACCACTACGTACCTCTCAGAAATGTACAGTTAAAAAAGTTAAATTTAAAAGTCATAGCCTAATTAAAAATTTATATAAAACAACTGTTCATAAATTATCTTCCTTATTAATAATTACTAAGAACCCACTAAGTTGAGATCTAACCATATGTTATTCAGTAATTTCACTAGAGCAAAAACTTCTACAAGATAAATGAACTTTACCTTAATATTTATCCATCTACTTTTATAACCCAATTTTTAAAATTTCAAACTATAATTATTTACAGGCTCCATATATTAAAAACTGTCTGATTCCATTAATAATACAATCCAACTTACTAAAACAGCAATAAAATTATTGAGAACTTTAGAAACAATTATAAAAATTCAGTCTCAGAAAATCATTCTACAATTTAAATACCAATGAAGGCATGTTTGCCCCAAACACTCTACTCTCTTTGAACACACTGTATCATCAAGTCTCCAAACACACAGCATTCTTAACAGATCCTGTATTTGTAATGACTAGTGATTTTTTAGCACTATCTATGGACCAGACACTGAACTACATGCTTTATGTAATAAATCTCACTCCTCCAAATGACTCTCAGAAGAAGATTATCATATTGAATTCAATTTAAACCTAAGGAAACTAAAGCTTAGAGGAGGGATAAATATATACATAATATGGAACCAGTGAGCAGTGATTCTAAGATTCAAACTTCAGGCTTGAAACTTGTAAGAACTACGTGTTAACTTCACCAAAATACTGCAACCCAGAGAGGGTTGTTCTGCCCAAATAGCCATCTGGTCTCCACTCTGACCTTTCTCTGAATGCAGTAAATATTAAGTAGACAAGATGGAACTTTAAAACAAAATCTTGATGTGGTTAGTTATCCAAATGTTTCTTTAATTTTATACTGTAACCCATAATAAGCAAAGTTATTTTCACTAGAAATATATAAATCATCTTAAATGGTAGAGAATTTGCTAAATTTTAAAAATATACAGACAATCTAACTCATAATGGACTAACAAACTCTCAAGTTATACCATGCACCATTTAAGAAATGCATTGCACACCGTTATCTTGTAACTGACTATAAAAACTTTGTAATGTTTATAATTTGAAGTTGAGGCAATATTGATAATTTATATCATGTCTTCTAAGAAGATATTTCATTGTTGACTCAATTTTCTCAGATTAGGTAGTGATCAAATTTAAGCTCTAGCAAGAATTCCTGGCAAGAGAAAAGCAGTTATATAAACAAGTTTTTAAAATGCTGTTTGAATTAGGTCATTGGGAATTTAAAATTAATTCTATCACAAATATCTCATATTTTTGCATTCTCTGGCAGAAAGATGGCTATAAAAACTCTCAGGACTAAAAAAATACAGTAAAAGAAAAATGTAGATACATACCTACAGCAAGACTGAGGGAAAAATTTGAGTCCTTTGGTGCCCTCTAAAAACAGAGATGGGCTATCTAATAGGACTTCCTATGGTCTCACATGTTTACCAAAATGAAAACACTGGAATAAATATTATAGCATAAAATTACTAAATTCAATTGTTTCCATTTAGAGCTCAAATTTACTAAAATCCACTACTTACTGATTTTTTAATGATTCTGTAATTTAATGATTAAAATTCCCAAGGGCAGATTATGTTATTTAGTAAAGCTATATGCAGAAGCGAAGTCATAATCGCCTATATTTGAATACTGTTTCACATTTATAAAGGCTGTCACAAACATTTTATCAGGTGAGCCTCATAATAAGTCTATGAGGAACAAGGAAAGATTTGGTTACTGTTTCTTTGATGTGTTTCATCATTGCTTTCAACTACTTTTTAAAGACTGACTAAATATCTTTTTTCATGTTGCTCTTATGTCTCCAAGGACTTTCCTACTCTATTTATAGCAGGCATACTCTACCTCCTAGAGAGTCACTCTTTCCACCTCAGCTTTTAGGATATTTGCAAATGAATTAAACTTTTCTATTTAGCTTTAAAAGAAGCTTATACTGTTTCATAGAAGAAAGTTACTCAAAGCTTTTACATATTTATTTTCTCCACTTTTTCTACTCTTTATATCACACACACACACACACACACACACACACACACACACACACACACACACTATATAGCATCCTGCTCAGTGATGAGTAATTAACAAATTGAGTAACTGACAGAGACCTAGCTTTCAGCCTATTTCCAAATGAGTTAGGATGCATTATCATGTTTTGTGGAACTGAAATGAGCAAATTATTACTTCCTTTACAGAATGATGGTAAAGATTAAATGAAATATGCCACAGCTTATAAATATAAAAGTATAAAGCACTGTCAGTATTCCTAGATTCTTACAGAGAATTTGTGGTGATTATCTTAGATATTACAAAAGATGAGTACTACCATGAAACACAGTTCTAGAAAGGTATTTTTCCATCATACTCTAATCAGTGACTGGTAAGATGATAGGTCTTATCAGTTTTTGACCATAAATAGCTTCATAATGAATTAGGAGTCCTAGGAATATGCAATTTATGGAATTAAATACTTATCAAATCCAAAGAACACCCCCTGGAAGAAGTAATGCTAATGAAAGCACTCACACTTTAGTTGGATAAGCAAGAGTGTAAACAGAACTATAAATGTTAACTGTTGTACTTTTATATCTACCCACATTCTAATCTCTATGTGCTTCCATTAAAGTCTTTTACTTGTTATTCTACAATTACAACATGCTTGAAGGAATATCTGTAAAGGAACAAAAGTGAATCACAGATTTTTCTTTCAGAAAGTTTGTTTCATAAGAACTTAATAATGTGCAAGTGCATGGAAAAAGAAAGGAGAAATTAAGAGTATGGAAGTTTGGAAAAATAAAAATAAACTGAGGCTGAAAAGAAATTATATAGGGTACTGGAACTTTCAGATGAAAATAACATGTTAGAGTACACTACTAGCTAAAACTATCAGCAATCATAACGCTCATCCCTTAACACTATTCCTTTTATAAGTTCTGAAAAGAAATACAATGAAAATAAGAAATCAAGATAAACCAATCACATATAGACTAAAAGAAAAGAGTGAACCAAAAAAATTGGTGAGAAAGGTGTGTGAAATTTAATGGGAACAAGGACCTGGGAAGGAAGAATGAACGTAGTGAAAATGGCCATACTTGCAAAACTGCTATACAGATTCAATGCAATCCTTATTGAAATTCCAACAGTATATTTCACAGAACTAGAGAAAACAATCGAAAAATTCATTTGGAATGAGAAGAGACCTATAATAACAAAAGCTGTTCTTGGCAACAGAGACATGATGGGATATCACAATCCCCAACATGAAACTATACTACAAAGCTACTGTGATAAAAACAGCATAGTACTGGCAAAGAAACAGACCTGAGGAGATACAGAAGACAAAGAAACAACTCCAGACACACTCAGCCACTTCATCTTTGACAAAGAAGCCAAACACCCTTACTGGAGGAAAGACAGCCTCTTTAATAAATGGTACTGGAAAAATTGGGTTTCAACTTCCCAAAGATTAAAACTAGACCTATATCTCTCACCATGCACTCAACTAAAATTGAAATGGATTAAAGATCTAAATATTAAAACAGAAACACTAAAGCGGCTGAAAAGAGGTCAGGTAGAAGAACTCTTGAAGACACTGATATAGGAAAAGATTTTATGAATAAAACTTCAGTTGCCTGTGAACTAGCACAATCAACAAGTGGGATGTCTTCTTATTAAAAAGCTTCTGCACAGCAAGAGAAACCACCAAAAGTGTAAAGAGACAACCCTCAATGTGGGAAAAAATTTTCACCAGCTGTTCCTCAGACAAAGGTATACTATCTAGAATATATAAAGAAATTTAAAAAATCAGGCCCTCCCAAAATTAAAGACCCAATCCAAAACTGGGCATCTGAAATGAACAGACATTTCTCAGACAAAGAAGTAAATAACTAGCAAATAAACATATGAATGTTCAACATCAATGGTCATTGGAGAGATGTAAATGAAACCAACACTGAGATTCCACCTCACCCAAGAAAGAACTAGATGATAGGTCTTATCAGTTTTTGACCATAAATAGCTTCATAATGAATTAGGAGTCCTAGGAATATGCAATTTATGGAATTAAATACTTATCAAATCCAAAGAACACCCCCTGGAAGAAGTAATGCTAATGAAAGCACTCACACTTTAGTTGGATAAGCAAGAGTGTAAACAGAACTATAAATGTTAACTGTTGTACTTTTATATCTACCCACATTCTAATCTCTATGTGCTTCCATTAAAGTCTTTTACTTGTTATTCTACAATTACAACATGCTTGAAGGAATATCTGTAAAGGAACAAAAGTGAATCACAGATTTTTCTTTCAGAAAGTTTGTTTCATAAGAACTTAATAATGTGCAAGTGCATGGAAAAAGAAAGGAGAAATTAAGAGTATGGAAGTTTGGAAAAATAAAAATAAACTGAGGCTGAAAAGAAATTATATAGGGTACTGGAACTTTCAGATGAAAATAACATGTTAGAGTACACTACTAGCTAAAACTATCAGCAATCATAACGCTCATCCCTTAACACTATTCCTTTTATAAGTTCTGAAAAGAAATACAATGAAAATAAGAAATCAAGATAAACCAATCACATATAGACTAAAAGAAAAGAGTGAACCAAAAAAATTGGTGAGAAAGGTGTGTGAAATTTAATGGGAACAAGGACCTGGGAAGGAAGAATGAACGTAGTGAAAATGGCCATACTTGCAAAACTGCTATACAGATTCAATGCAATCCTTATTGAAATTCCAACAGTATATTTCACAGAACTAGAGAAAACAATCGAAAAATTCATTTGGAATGAGAAGAGACCTATAATAACAAAAGCTGTTCTTGGCAACAGAGACATGATGGGATATCACAATCCCCAACATGAAACTATACTACAAAGCTACTGTGATAAAAACAGCATAGTACTGGCAAAGAAACAGACCTGAGGAGATACAGAAGACAAAGAAACAACTCCAGACACACTCAGCCACTTCATCTTTGACAAAGAAGCCAAACACCCTTACTGGAGGAAAGACAGCCTCTTTAATAAATGGTACTGGAAAAATTGGGTTTCAACTTCCCAAAGATTAAAACTAGACCTATATCTCTCACCATGCACTCAACTAAAATTGAAATGGATTAAAGATCTAAATATTAAAACAGAAACACTAAAGCGGCTGAAAAGAGGTCAGGTAGAAGAACTCTTGAAGACACTGATATAGGAAAAGATTTTATGAATAAAACTTCAGTTGCCTGTGAACTAGCACAATCAACAAGTGGGATGTCTTCTTATTAAAAAGCTTCTGCACAGCAAGAGAAACCACCAAAAGTGTAAAGAGACAACCCTCAATGTGGGAAAAAATTTTCACCAGCTGTTCCTCAGACAAAGGTATACTATCTAGAATATATAAAGAAATTTAAAAAATCAGGCCCTCCCAAAATTAAAGACCCAATCCAAAACTGGGCATCTGAAATGAACAGACATTTCTCAGACAAAGAAGTAAATAACTAGCAAATAAACATATGAATGTTCAACATCAATGGTCATTGGAGAGATGTAAATGAAACCAACACTGAGATTCCACCTCACCCAAGAAAGAACGGCTGCTATCATGAAATCAACCAATAACAAATGCTGGCGGGGCTGTGGGGAAAGAGGAACCCTGCTCCACTGCTGATGGGAGTGCAGACTGGTACAACCACTGTGGAAATCAGTATGGAGATAATCAAAGAACTAGGATTGGAAGTTCCATTTGACTCAGCTATTTCCCTGCTGGGTATCTTCCCCAAAGAATTAAAAACAAAAATCATACCACAGTGATATATGTGTACCCATGTTCATAGCAGCACAATTTGTTAATAGCTAAAACTTGGAAGCAGTCCAACTGTCCATCAAGAAAAGCCTGAATAAAGAAACTGTGGTTTTTTTTTTTTTAATAAATGGAGTACTACTCAACCATAAAGAATTAGAAATTAGAGACATTTATAGACAAATGGATGGATGCACATTGAGGACATACTCTTTAAGTGAAACAAATAGTACACACGTGTAAATACCAAATAGTTTCTCTGGTATGAGAACCTGAAAAGTAAATAAGAACTAAAAGGTGTAATAGATAATGTGAGCTAGGAAGAAAAGGTGCACAGGGGAAAGGGAAGGGGTAGAGGTAGGGGAAAAGAAAGAAGGAAATGGAATTAATATGAGAAAATGAAAAAAATGGAAACAAAGTCTTTGTAGACAGGGAAGGGTGGAGAGGTTCAAGGTAGGGCAGGGGAATGGGGAAAAAATAAGAAATAAGATGGATTGTGTAAAGGTGCAAATTTCCAATGATGAATGTCATTATACTGTATACCTTAAATGTACCAACAGAATTAATTTTTTAAAAAAATAAATGTGTCTTGGCATTGTTTTGAGAGAAGTTTTTATTTTAGTGAACTGTATGTTTGTCCCAACAGACTGATGATTTCTATACCAAGGTCCAAACCATTTCTTCAAAAGCAAACCTTCATAATATAGAAAAATAACAAAAACTACACATTTTTAAACAGAATATCACTGTAACAATGGAATAACTGTTGAATTTTAGCACTTTTTTAACCTCAATTTTTTTTTTTAGTATATTGGTACATTTTAGGTATACAGTACAGTTACATTCATTTTGAGATCTTGTACTTTTACATGACAGGTCTTGGTTCTTATTATTTCCCCTTATCCCTGCCCTCTCTTCACAGGCTCCTACCCCTACCCTCCCCATCTACAAGCACTTTATTTCCATTTTTCATTTTCTCATTTTTTTTTTTTTATACTGGGGATTGAACTCAGGTCCTTGCGCTTGCAAGGCAGGCCACCGAACTGCTGAGCTAAATCCCCAGCCCTCAAATTTTTTTCTTTTCCCTTATTACCTTTCCCCTATCCTTCCCATTTTCCTTACACCTTTAGCCCTTTTCTTATTTCACATTGTCCATTATCTCATTAGGATCTTATGTACTATTATAGTTTTTCACACCAGATTTTAACCTCAATTTTAGGCTAATGGTTAAACCCACATATAAATAAAGCATACATGTATGCACACATACCTATATATATAGATATACATACGTAAAACATCGATGTAAAGAACCTGCTCCCAAATTATCTATGAATATGCTTTTGAGATCTAAATTTGAAGTAACAAAAAAGTAAGATGTCATGTTCAGAGCTGCAAGAACAGGCATTACCGATATTATGTCAAGACAGTAATAGCAGAAATCAAACTTGCAAAAGAGAAGAGTAATGCAAACCAAAACTAGAGGATCATTATAAGAGGAATGTATTTTCATATTCAACAATGGCTTTCACATAAAAAAATACGATGCTGTACACAGGGCATTAGAAGAAAATTACTAACTGGACAAAAATACTCACTTGTTTCACATTTTCAGCTAAGAAGACAATATAAACACTGCAGAATCCCAACTGTGTTATCACCAGAAAAAAATCAACCACAGTCCTAAAGGAAAATATTCACAAATAAGTATCAATAAAAGATGGTGAAATATCAATATATTTCTTTTCTCTTTTAAATGTTTTAAAACATTTTATAATATAATTTATGATTTTTTACTTTCTTAAAAACATTTAGCAATTTTATTTCTTATAAAGATTATGCATTTATGATCAGTATGTCACTAAAATTACTACAAAGCAACATAATGCTCCATTAAGTTAAAAGACAAGATCACTTCTCAGCCTTTTGGCTAAGATCCAGTGAAGTTAAAGGACGAAAATTTTTACATCATTACCATTTTCTGAAATTCAACAGTTTAAGGAAATCTGCTTGTAAGACTTTACAAAAAATATTTCATTTAGAATAAACCCATCTTTATTATTTCTCAAGATATTTTTCAGATCACGCCAGTGTATTTTCCAAACCATTCCAGTTTTATGTTATTTTCATATATGAAGAGCATATTCCCTGCTGATAATACAGAATGATAGATGATTTGGGGCAATAGCTCTAAATCATGCCACAAGAGCTCTCTTCAGTAACTTTTCTAATTATTTTTTAGTGAGATGACATTATTTGAATACAGTAGTTTTTTAAGTTACATACCTGCCTACATTTTGTTAATATACACCCATGCTTCTTTGCTTAGGTGAGGAAACAATGAGTGACTCCTTTAGCATGCACTTACTAATTCATTACAGACTCTTGTTTGACCATCAGTGTCATTAACATGGGTCTTCAAAATCTACAGACCTTCCTTCTCCCATTTGAAACTGGAAAACTCCTGCCTCTTTCCAGTCTTGCTATCACTACTATTCTCCACGGTTATTCACAGATCTTATTTGTAAGTTATCTTGCTACTCAAAAATGAATTCAACTTTCTTTCATCTAATGAGTTACACGTTGGCATTTTAAGTACTCCCTTAGTATCTGTGCTTCCATCTTTTAGTGTCCCACCATCAATCATTCCAGACACTTCTGTATGAAAGCCATTCTTCACAGAATAAGCAGACAAAGGGCAAAAGAAAAACAGAGTTTGTGCAACAGGTTCTGGGGTTAGGCCCTGACAGAGTTTGTTAGGTTCTATTTCTTTCTTTCTACTCTGTTTATCAGGAACTCTGAGCCCTTCATAAACAAATCTAATTTTCTGAAAATCCCCAGTAAGGGTATCTTTAACTATAAACTACTCCACTAAAACTGTTCTTTTTCTTTTTCTAATTCCTGCTGCACATATCATTTGTATCATAGTTAGCACTTGGTTGATTGCTTACACTTCTTTTTCCATTTTTTATGTTCATCTGGCTTAACTTCAACAGGTCTCCTAATGAAAAAGTTGCATCTAAATAGCAATGCAATAAATTAAGCCTGCATTAAAAGGCCTAAAGATCTTAGATCTCTAATGATCATGTATCTAAATACCACACCTTTATTTAAAATACAGTAACGAAATTACAACATTTTTCTTATTCTTTGATTTTTCTTATTCCTTCTTATTGAACATGACAGTATGTCACTGATTGGTCAGTGTTTTATAAGTGTAATTTTATTTAATTTACTATAATACTCCTTTGAAGTATTACTAGTTTATTTCATAATGAGAAATCTAAACCAGACTGATGAATAATTTGAGCTCCATTGTGAAAGAGAAAATTGGGAAAGCTGAAGCCTGAACCTAAATCTAACTCTAACAGTTATCTCTTTGATTCTCTCATACCATTATCTTATCTTACCATTATTTACCATTATCTTATCATACCATTATTTGTCTTATCAGATCAAAATACTTAAAAATTAATATAATTACAACTAGATAGAAACAGAAAGTACTTAACCGTCCCCATGCTGCTTGCTTCTGAAGACAACTCCAAGGACTTACTTCCATAGCAAAACTCACAGTATCACTATATCCTAATGTTGATTTTTTAAACCTGTAATTTAATGACACACATACATGGGAAAAAGAAAAATGTTAAATTGGTCCATAAAATCATTTCCGGAAAAAAACATCAAATAAATGTGAATTAATAAATGCAGGCTATATGTTAACAGATTTGTTTTCAAAATTTTGAAGATCTGTATACGAAACCTGCTTTGGGAAATTTATCTTATTTTATTTTATTTTATCTCATTGAGTTTATTGGTACAATTTAGGTATACAGCACAGTTACATTCATCATTGGGATCTTGTACCTCTACATGACAGGTCTTGGTTCTCATTTTTTCCCCTTATCCCTTCCCTCCCTTCACTCCCTCTGCTTCATGAAATTTTAAAATGATATATGTCCTTTTCTCCACCCTATTTATTTTGATTTACTGGTCAAATTTATTGATCTATGAAATTCAAAGCAGCTAACATTTGCATTTCACTAATACCTAAAGTCATCAACTATCCTGTTCACACCTAAATTATTCCATTTTTTTTAATTATGCAATATTATATCTGTATGGGGCTCTACAATATACTTTCAAATAAACTATCTCATTTAATTTTCAATATAGCTCTATAAGACAGGTATTATTCCTCCATTTAATTCCTCTCTTTTCCACTTTCTTTGTCAAGTGGATATTGTTTTTCAAACATCATAAGTGATATACCCAGTTTTAAGAACATTTACTATCAAGAGTCAGGTCTACTAAAATAAGAAATATTTATTCAGTTTCTTCATTAAAATGGTGTATTGTCTAGTAAAAGCATTTCATGGTTCAAAGCTAAAGAAAAAGTAATACATTATTTATTGGATTGAATATCTACAAACCCACACATCAAAGCACTATACACAAAACCAAATTATTAGCAACAGATCTTCGGTTATTAGTAGAAGCTGGACCTCCATTTCCTCTAAATCTGCCCTGATTTTTCCCATTTACACTAAATAAAGAACCCATTAGCTTGGCATGGTGATACATGCCCATAATCCCAGGACTTGGGAGGATGAGGCAGGATGGTGGCCATGAATTTGAGGCCAGCCTAGACGTACACAGTGAGATCCTGTCTCAAAACACTAAAAAAGAAAAAAGAGCCCATTCTATTCCACTCATGTGGTACCTATGGTACACAGTCAGCAATCTACAGCCAAAAGTTCCTCATTTGTGGATTTAATCAATCACATATGGAAAATACATGAAGAAATGCATTTGTGCTAAGTATGTACAAACATTTTTGTCATTATTCCCTAAATAATAAAATAGAACAACTATTTGTATAGCATTTACATTGTATTAGATAGTAAAATAAATACAGGTGATTCAAAGTATATGGGAGGATTGCTGAAGGTACATACAAATACCATGTCAATCTACAAGAAAGACTTGAGCTTCCGCAGATTTTGGTATCTATAAGAATCCTGGAGGGCTGGAGATTTAACTCAGTGGTTCCATCTGCCTCTCAAGCACAAGGACCTAGTTTGATCCCCAGGACCAAAAAAAAAAAAAAAAAAAAAGAATCCTGGAACCAATTCCCAAAGAATACACAAGGATGAACAGATGAGGATAAACAGATTCTAGTCACATTTAAATAATATAAAATGATGCCCTTTTTCATATTCATCATCCTGGATTTGTTTATATTACAGATTAAAGAAAATACAACTTCATGTTCCAAAGCACAATATAAATTTAATACTATGATACTCTAAGTAAATACATAGCTTTAAAATACTTAACAAATCCACATTTACCTCTGACATAGAAAGTGACTGCAACGTACCAATATGTGCATACAGTGAACAGAAATAATTCCTATAAACACAAGGCTGATTGGTCCAAGCTGAGAAAAAGAAAATTTATATATTAATATTTCAGTTTTTAAAAAAGTAACCATACAAGCAATGAATCCACTTACTATTAATTTACACTGAAAAAAATTTGTTGGACAAAATGATTACATGGTCATCTGATAAAGGGAAAATTAATAAATTTGATATAGAAACTATTTCAGGTAGTGTTTAAAGGAACCAGGTATGATTCCATCTTATCAAACTGGCTACTTAAATTTATGGATATAGATCATAAATATGAAGCATAGTAACACAGAGTACAACATTATATTTAACATATGAATGCAGGTCTCTAGTGTCCTACCATCATAATTACTTATTATTATGCAACATTATCTAAAAGAGTAAAATGCACAGTCTTGAACTAGGAGTTAGACAATCCAATTCTACAGAATGCTTTTGAGAACATATTTATTGTGTAGTGTCAGAAACTATGCTTAGAAAATAATTATTAAAAACTGGTACATTAAAAATTTCAAGTATTTATTTATTATAACTAAAGCAATTCCTGGATTACTGAGTTACAACCAAACTTTTACCAAAGCTTATTTTTATAATCAGAAATTTTAAATTATTCTAAATTACATCAGGGAACCAGTCAAACTCAGAGAAAGGCGATAGTTAAAGCTATTTTTTCTAAGTAAGTCCATTTTAATAAAGTTAAATATAATTTTGTTGTGCTATAAAGAAATTCTCCCAGTCAAGGCTCTCTGTAATTATAATAACTATCTCTAATAATGCTTTAAATTTTTTTTAAAAGATGGTTACTTCTTGTCTTAACTACCTTTTTCAGTCTGAAAACTGCATATCTCATTCTGAGTCTAAAAAACTAAAAATATGAATCTTAAAAAACACAAAAAGTATTCTTTTAAATAGAATTGTTACTATGAGTGCACTACTTAACATCCAATAAGACATAATCAAACTTGGAAAAAATCAGATACTGTGTTAGATCTGAGATTTTGTTGTTGGTGGTTAAGTATTATAAATATGTAATTAAGTAGAAATGAAAACAGTAATTCTCACGTTTTGTTATACTAGAATACTGCTCTACTAGAATAGGAGATATTTATAGTATCTCACATAATTTTATCAATATAATGGGTAACTGATCATCTAAGTGTCACCTGACCAACTTATATTTAAAGAGCATAGATATTGTCTTATACTAATTTTTACTGGCAACTATATCTTAACTGAAGTTTACAAAGATAAGTCTTACCACTATGCCTGCATTTTTTATTGCCAATGGAAGTCCTAACAGGCCGGTTCCAATATTTCCCTTAAGAAGATGCATAAGAGTTTGTACAAATCTGAAAAGTAAAAATTGTAAGATTCAAATATCTTAGACCATGATTTTACAAGGGAAAGAAATATTATTGTAGGTAACAAACCAAATAATATTTCCATTCTACCATTAGGCTTGGTTTAAATCCTATCTTTGCTACTTAAAAGGGCATAAGCATTGTAGAGATTAAATGAGATATTTAAGTGAAAGTGCTTCTTCACACAGCAGTGATTAAAAAAAAAAAAAAAAAGAAATGGATCTTTCAAGTTCCTTAAGGAGTTAACCTAAGAATACTTTCTAGGAAGTAACTGAAAGAGGTCTTGACCAAAAAGTTAGTAAATTAAAACTAGGAGAAGGAAAACAAAATTTAAATTTAAGGGAAAAAATGTTTGCCAAAATATTTTTTCAGTTTATAATTTTTGTTGATCAGATATGTTACTTTGCTTAATCACTAAATTACTACTAGAATAAGAATGTGCCAAGTCAAAATTAAAAAAATAAATATTCCACTGCTTGCTTGCAGCTTTGTTTTATTCTGCTCACTCTGCATAATATACTTACTACATATCAAAGGTCTAGTTCCTAATCATTTCAGAAGTCTTTTCTCTTAACATTCCTATTCCTGTCAATCAGCTCTTACTTCTTTTGGGATCCAGAGCAATTAATATGCATTATCAATGTAATAGTTCCTGTAAAATGCTTTGCTATGGAAGTATATTTCTTTCTTGAAAATAAACTATAAACTCCCGGAAGGTAGAGACTATGTCTTATTCATCTTTTTATTTCCTAAAGTTTCTCATAAAATATCTTACCTGTAGAAGATTACAAAAAATACACTGAAAGAAAAGAAAACAAACATAATACTCAACACTTACGAAATACCCTCTTGGTGATCAAGTTGGTAATGCTTCTGAACAGGCAGAAGCTCTGCCTCATGTTCTTCATCAGACGTCCCATCAAAATTCTGCTCATTTATCAAGGGCCTCATTACATCCATATCTTTAAAAATAAAAACAAAGTACTTCAATATTGTTTCTCTAATCAGGATAAAGCTGTGTAAATGAATTTATCATATAGGAAATACCAGTTTAGTTATCTTTGCTATTTCTACCCTGAGTAATTTAGTTATCTTAATTCCTCCTGATACGGTGTAACAGGGTCAGGCCCAAGACAGAGTCAGCTAAATACAAAGAAAACAGCCTATCAGGTTAAGAGCTAACTAGCTGAGTTTAGAAATGTAAAAGAAAATACTAGAGGAAAGGCTAAAAATTAAAATAAGAGGAGAGAAAAGGGCTTTCCCTCCCAGGAAAATGGTACACTAAGTTAGTGAACAGCTCCTCCCTAACCTCCTGGCTGGGCCTGGAAAACCTTAGAAATGCACAGTAACCAGTTTCCTTCAGGACTTAGTTTCCTGTAAACTAGCTGAATAACTAAACACTTTATCTACAAAACCACTTGTTTAAAACAAGTCCCCATGTTCTGTCTATCTATATAAGGTCAAAATAAAAGTACAATGGCATTTTCTACCTCCAAAAATTCTTCACAGGGTCAAAAGCTTTTATTTTCATCTTATTTCCAATAAACACTCCCCTAACTTATTCCTTTTGTGTGAATTTATTCTTCAATTTAGCAAGCCAAAAAGCTCCAGTTTATACAAAATTAACTTCTTAAATTAAAAAGAAACTAGACCTATTTGCTGGATAATGTTTGGGTTATGCTGTAAAAAGTGAAAAGGTTAAGGACTCAATGCAAAACTCTTTCAGATTGGTCCACATGAGGTTCATAGTAAATGATCAAAGAATTATGGCATGAGAAATATAAAGAAAAAGTCAAATATATTTTCATCTCCAATTAGCTTCATAACATACTGTTAAGATCAAAAGTAATTATGTTTTACAATACTTCAAAAAATTATAAAGCTATTTCAATTTTTAAATTTTTAGTATCAAAATTTACCCTTCTACTTAACAACTATTTAGCATGATTCTGCTCCTTTCAGTAAGAAAGACAACACTAGTCACCACTGCCTGGCTTGCTGTTGTAAAATTCAAAAGTTACAAATTTAATGAGACAATGGCTGTACATTAGTAAGGTCTGAAGTACAGAAGATTTTAAAGAAATGAAAGTTTGTTTCAACCAAATACATATAGTACACTACAGAAAAGGAAACTTTAATTACTAAATAATTTAGTTGGAAATGTCTAATTGACATGACTTTTTTAACTTTTTATTTTGGAATAATTTCAAACTTATAGTACCACATCCCTGCTGGCTTGAACCATCAAAGGTACATGCACAACTGTCCCATCAGGCAACTTAAACCACCAGTAGTTAGCTATTTACTATCAGATGACAGAATTCAAACCAAAGCTGCCCAGCAGCAAGAGATATGAAATATGGCCCCATCATGAACATGTTAAATTTGTAAGATACTGCAGTACAAAAAATTGTATTTCTTTAGAAACTTAATGATTTTCAACATTTTACCACAACTTTTTCTCTCTCAAACCCATAACATTTTAATAAACTATACACACCATGTTCTGCTTCACTTTGAAGGATCTCTAATTTTCCCTGGTATGTCCTTCTCTCCCTTCAATGCCAGGAATCTGAGGGGCATCTCCATCGCTCTATTCATCTCTTTCCTCAAGAAGCAATGCTTTTCTAAGGCTGCCCCTCAGTCCTGCTCACATTCAGAGTCCTTTCTTGTTCTCAGACCTGTGAACTGCAAATTTCTAGACCTGGTCTCCGATAAAATTTAACACTTTAGACCTTCTTTTTCTGCAGATTTTATTGTGCTTCCTCCAAATCTCAGGCTCCATACTCCTCCAAAGAGAACCTAAAGTCTTCCCTGTCTACTCTCCATGTTTACAACAGCAACAGGAACTCTGTAGCAATTTGCTGTTTCTTTCTCTACTTATAATTTTAAGTTTCTGGTATTCTTGGTCTGCTGGTAATGCTAAAAGAGTAAACTCATGAATAATCTACTTGTGCTCCTTATCGAATGTTAGGTTTTTGGAGGAGGATATGTTTAGTAATTGGGATTTAGGCAGCCAATACTGGCCCAATGCCAACTGGAATTTAGCTTTACCAGTTTTGTATAAAATTAAAGTGAGGCTTTATAACCTTGGAAAGTGCTTTAAAGAGCCTATTCTTTTTGTTGTTACCGTGGATTGAACTCGGGACCAGGGATTGAACTCAGGACCTGGTGCTTGCGAGGCAGGTGATGAACCACTGAGCTAAATCCCCGGTCCTAAACAACCTATTTTTAAATCATGTCTGCAATTCATATAGAGATTAAAATTCATTAAATTATCAAAAGTTCCAAATGATGGCATCCAAATTAATGTGTTTATTATCTCAAAGTTCTAAAGGATATTGAAGTCTGAAATCAAGTTGTTGAGAAGTTGGTTCCTTCTGAGGGCTGGGATAAATGCTCTGTTCCAGGCCTCTTTCCTTACCTTGGAGATGCCCATCTTAATGTTCACTCAGATTCCCACAAACAAGATAGCTAGGCTGTCAATTATTCTTAATAAACTTACACTGTTTACAACTGTCTTACTTAGTTTTAACAGTATAATCCCTGTGGTTACACTTTTTCCTAATTCTTAAATTTATTCTTTTTCTTTTATATTGTCCAGGAAACATTAAACAATTACTGAGAAAAATACTTTTTCATACACATATATTTATTTGCTTTAAATCCATTATATTTGAAAATCTTAATAAAATGTAATTATTCCAGGGTTTCTTTAACCTCTCACAATAGGATTACAGAGGTTATTTAAAAAGCTGAAACTAAGAGAAAAATGCTTCTTAACAATGTTAAGAATTTAAGAAGTACATAATTATATATTGTTTGGATTCTACCACTAAAGCAGAAGTATGCAATGTTCTATGTTAGTAAGTTCTACCTATGTGTTTACATTTTTAAAAGCAACTGAGAAAAATCTGTAAGACATTCCCTCCAAGTTTCATTCTACATTATTGAAGCAGCATTACATACTAAGAAATACATATTTCTTTAAGTAAACTAAGAATAAAGTGATAAGATTTTAGGATTATATATTAGCTTGAATGATACAAAATAGTTCTCAAATCTAAAGAATAAATTAAAAGACAGCCAAATAAAAGTATCTGAAAAATACCTATGTGCTCAAGAAAATGCATCTTTAAGTAGTAGAAAGATATCTATTAATAAATCGAATCAGTTGGTCATTTGTAACTTTTAGAAGCTCCAGGTAATACTAAATACAATGCTAAATTGTAGTGTGTTCTAAATTTAGACACAGAGTAAATACAGTAATATTGTTTTCTTATAATTAACTCTAATTTTTTAGGAGTGGTATTAGTATTGGCATTGGTCATGAAATTGACATTTCAAGTTTGAATGTACTGCCTGCTGAGAAATAGGTTGCTTTCATGTGGCTGGAAATGAAGGTGTGAGTAGTATACTGTATAAGATTAAGTTGTAAAGCTTGAATAGCTTTCACACCAGTCTTATCAAGAACTAAAATCCCTTTCCTATGAAAGGTTTCTGGCTCAGGCTCACTGCCAAATTATATGCAAGTTGTGAGGTGGCTTAAGGAATCAGCATCCATCCTCTCTGGAACAACCCTCTTATGGCATTCTCAGAAAGATGTGTAGATGAAAAAGAGTTTTTCCTGGCATAGTAAATTTCCATAGCTTAGTTACTGATTTGCTATGGTAAACTAAGGAGGGTAGATTAAGATAACTTTTGTGCACATCAGTACCACATGAAGAGCACACTACAGGAGCTCTATTCAGAGAGGCACAAGCCTTGCCAAATTTTACAAATCTCTGGTCTTTTAAAAGAACCTCTCAACAGACTGTCATCACTTTCTTACCAATATCTAATGGACAACAGCCCTTCAATGCAAAAGGTCTGTGCCTCCTGTTAAGAGGTCATTATTTTCTATTCAATTTCACAAATATTATTGGAACCCAATTGATATATGTTAATCGTTACTATATTCTTGAAACAATTACTAAAACAAACAAAAAGAAAACACCTGCCCCCCATCAGCTCAAACTTATTTTTTAGCTTATTTCTCTGGAAAGAGTCCATAAATAAGCCAAGACTGTAAGTAGAGCAGAGATAAAGTACAGTGTTCAGTCCTAAGAGAAAACAGGGCTTGACACCCTGTAATTTTAGAACAGCCAAAGTAGGCCTCCCTGAGAAAGTGGCATTTTAAAGACCTGAAAGAGGTACAAAAGTAAGCAAGGTAGTTATCTGGGGGAGAGCTATCCAGGATGCAACAAGAACAAAGGCAAAGACTAATGTATTTAAGGAACGGCAAGGATGCAAAACAGTTAAAAAGGAGTGAGGAGTATGGGAATACTAGAGGTATGAGAGAGGTCCCAGAAGACAGATGCTATATACCCTTGGGGACTATGATTCTCAGTGACATGAAAAGCCACTAATACAGTGTTGTCCAACAAAAGTATATTGTGAACCACAAACATAATTTCAATTTTCCTAGTAACCACATTTAAGAAAAAGAAACAGGAAAAATTAATATCAATAGTATTTTATTTAACTCCATATAGCCAAAATATTATTTCAACATGCAATCAACATAAAAATTAATATATTTTACCTTCTATTTTTTTCCTTATTAAGTATTTGATACCTGTTATGTATTTTACACTTCCAACATATTACAACTTAGACAAATCACATTTCATGTGCTAAATATTCACATACACCTAGTGGCTACCTCACTGGACAGTACACACTGGCAAATTTTGAGCACAAGCGTGACATCATCTGATCTCCATCATAAACAGGTTCTTCTAGGTCCATTTTTTCACGTGTAAAGTGGGACTACTAACTTCTACCTTACAGGCCTTTTGCACAGGACAGAAGCCAAGTCCATGGCACACAAGTAATCAATTGTACTAGTTGTCTTTCTCTTGCTACATGACATTAGAAATAAATTATGCTTTATAGAATTTTTAAAGATCACTGTGACAAGAAGTTAGAACTTTGTGAAAATTTCTAATTCAGAGCATTTACAAGCTATGAATTATGGTATAAGATTGAAGATACAAAGATACCCAAAATATGTTATGCCAGACAGAAATGAAACTAGTGGAAGAGATAATACTTGAAAATCCATTATGGTAAAGTTTTAACAGAGTTGAAAATATATGAAGTAAAATGTGAACTTTCTCCACCAAGTAGTTAAAACTTACATAAACCAAGGTATATTACACATAAAGTCTATTATTTGCCAATGTTTTGATATAATTTCCAGCCAAATACTAAATTGGTTATGTCTAAAACAAAAGCTGTGATCAATATACGTAAAAATTAATAATGCCTTGTAAAGCAGAATACTGTTAAGCAATCGATATGAAAACTTCTAGACATCATTATTTCTATTTAGAAGTAGAAGATTTAGACAAAAAAGAAGCAATAACTTGATTCAATATTATAAACTATACACATAACATATGATGTGTCTCAATCTTAAGTCCTTAGTGTAAATTCAACTTAAATTCCAAATTGTAGACAGAATAAAGAAAAATCACATTAATTTAGCAATATGTATTAACAACTTAAAATATTTATTGCTTTGTCCCCTATTAATTCCACTTTTGATAAGACAGTAGTAAAGAAAAGAATTTCTGCACAAAAATATTAACTGAAATATTAAAACTGTTAAAACTCTGGAAACAACCTAAATTGCAACAATCAGGAAATTGCTAAATTAACTATGGTACACGTACTTTATAAAGTAGTACAGTGACACTAAACTATGGTTTTGAAGTCTGACTAAACCAGGAAAATATGTATCACATGCTCAGTGGAAAAAATGTATATTCACAGTATGACTGCAGTAACATTTTTAAGTTAAATAGAATAAAGGGAAGAAACATACCATAATGCACATTAACAAGAATATTAAGGAACAACTAATTCATTTTTCTTTGTTTCTCTGGAAAATGTATTGCCTTTATTATACTAGAAAATAAAGGAATTAACTTAGACTTTAGCAATAAACTAAAAGAAAACATAGTTTCTGTTTAAAAAAAAAAATACAGTATCGGGTCACGGATTTAGCTCAGTGGTGCTACCGCCTGCCCCACAAGCACAAGGTCCTGAGTTCAATCTCAGAACCAAAATAACAACAACAACAAAAACAATATTGCCACCTGAATCTATACACTGCTATCTAAACAGAAAATGAGAGTAAGTGTTCATTTCTGAGGTGGAAAACACCTGCACAAGAAGAAATCCTTCCCCTTGTCTATGGAATGAAGTACAGAATTTAAGCTTAAGGAAATATCTCTACCAGTGCTCTCCACATTTTAAAAGTTCCTTTCTAAATTAAATAATATTTGGTCATTGTAGAAAATCAAAAAACATATAAAGGATATTTTTATATTAAAAATTACCTTGCCATCCAGAAACTACTACTCTTGACATTTTACCACACACACATACACATACATACACACATAAACATACACACACACACACGCTCCAACATGGTCTCAGTCCCGTCTTTAAGTGCCACCTATATACTGATGACTTCTAAATATCTATATTGAGACCAGACCATTCAGTAATTCTAAATACAAATTTAATTTCCTCAACAACGAATTTGATTCCTAAACTGACATCTCCAGTATCACATGCCCCAAAATGAATTCATTTTCACCACCGAACTTTCTCCTTCTATGACTCTACCCGTCTGTACTACTTATAGTTATCTATTGCTTTAGAACAAATTTATGGCTCTTGTAGGGAGGCCTCAGTGCCATGCAAAATAAATTTTTCCTTAGGGCTAATTGAGTATCCTCCAATGTGACATCTGGCTTCTCCCCACATGAATGACCCTAAAAGAGAATAAAAGAGCAAGGTACAAGGTGTATGACCTAGTGTTGGTTATACATACATGACTTCTAATCAGAAGCAAGTTACTAAGTTGAGCTCACATTCAAAGGAAAGTAAATTAAGTTCCTCCCCATAAAAAGAGAAACTTGAAAGATTGTAGACATTATAAAACCATTATAACATTTCAGTTAATGACAATTTCGTTCTTCTAGATACTCAGGTCCTTGGAGTCTTCCACTCTCTTCTGCATTACTCTCAATCTTTATTCAATCTGTTAGGAAATCATGCTGGTTCTATTTTCAATGTTTAAAACCTAACCTTTCCTCCCTACTCCCACTGTTATTAACATACTATCCTACTATTGAAGGCTACAATATCTCTTTCTTAAATTACTGAAATGACTTCCTGCTTCACTTCTGCACCTTGCAGTCCATTCAGCAATGCAATCCTCTAAAAACTGAGTCAGATCATGTCACGGACCCTACCTTCACATTTCATTTCCCTGGTTTTTTATAGCATTTTCACCTAACATACTGTAAAATTAAATGCTTTTACTGTTTATTATCTGTCTCCTTACTAAATGTAAACTTCATGAGAGCAGAAATATTGATCTGTTTTGTTCACAATGTACCCCAAGCCTCCAGAAGTTTAATGAACGTGAGTTAATGAACACACGTAACTTTAAAAAACTAAACAAAGTGAAGCCCTTTTTTAGTTAATAACATGTATATGTTGAATAGTTTTTCATATCACTTTTAATGGCTAAGCACTAGATGACCATACAGTTAAACCACAATTTATCCAATTTCCATTCATTGGACATCTACGTAGTTATAAGCTTTTCTCTATTATAAATGCTTGCATAAATATTTATTACGTGATTTATTTCCCTGGGAAATATTCTAGAAGTAAAATTGCTGGGTAAAAGTGTATGTACATTTTAAGGGTAGATGCATTATCCACCAACAATGCATGAGAAAACCCATTTCTTCACTTCACTGAGACAGGTTGTTAATGAACCTGGATTCATACACGTATGTGGGTTCTGTCACTGAACCTAAAATTACTGTATCTGCATAAAAGGGATAATAATAGAAATTGCCTCACAAAAGTGTTGCTAGGATTAAAGGAGATGATGCATGAACAGTGCACTTAGTACACTGCTTGGACACAATAAACATTCAATAAAGTATTAAATTTATTGCTTCTACGATTATTATGACTTGAAAGAAATAAATTGCAAAATGCCCTGAACAATGTCACAGAAGTATCAGCCTATTGCTTACATATAATAAGGCGTTTTTCAAAAAATTCCACTTTTTTGAAGACTATGTTTAATCTTCATCACTGAATTTATAATATGCTTAACTACGGTGCACATAACTGGGAAGACAGCCACTGTACCGCCCTGACCCTTCTGTTTTGTGACAGAGGCAAACATTTCCAGCGCTAAGAGAACCGACCAGAGGAAAGTTGGTAAACAAACTCTGGCAAGAGAAGTAGCTACAAGTCTCTACTGTTCATTGTAATGCTCACCTCCTGTTCATATACCTGGGGCAGAAGGACGTAAAATAAGAATTCATCTCCAGACGCCTTGCAGATAAGCTGCAGCGTTTGAAAAGTAGAACAATGACAACTTCCTTAGAGCATCATTGGAAAAAAAGCATAAGAGACAGCGCAGGCTCCCTCCTGCCTTTGACGTGTGCACACAGCACAGCTCCCCACCCCCAAAACACACACGCGCGCGCGCGCCCATATGACACCCTTCAGGCCCAGCCTTTTCTCCCGTCCACCCTCTCTGGTCCGACAACCAGTCCCCGAGAGGGCGCTGACCCAGGAGTCAATCAGCAACCACGCCCAGATTCATGCGTAGGTCCCAAGGTGTTCTGCTGGGTTTAAATTCAAACCTGTACCAGACCCACAACTCGAGAGTCTACACACACACGCGCGCGCGGAACGCGGCCCACGAATCTCCCTGCCCAGCCCGACTGAACTCGCACCCGGATGCCGCGGCCGCATCCGCC